AAAATCGTGCTCCACCGGTTTAATTTGTGGTACGGAACATGGACGTCACGGATTGGAAAGTTACCCGCACGTCCAACAACGTTGAGGCGACGAGTTTGCCGCATCAGCAACGTTCGAGAGAGCAGCGATGTGTGTGCGTGCGTTTGTCGGCAGAAAACGATTACAAAGTGTAGGAATAATAATAAGCCACAACAGGATTGATTTTCGGTGTCATGACTAAGCAGTATCAGCAAAAACAGCACGCGAGACCGTTGTTCGTGGCCATGAAACAAGGGTGCGAATTGATTGCATAGTATTTTTCGCATACTGATTTTTTTTTAGCAATGCACAAAAGAATGCGGGGAGCCCGTGCATGGATGGCCACAAAACCAAACAAAAATATATATCGCGGGAAAAGCTCCCAACTCTCAAACCACTACAGAATATGCACAACAAAACGGTATCGTACATATGACCGACGCACAACACACACACACACAAGACAAGCGCCCCCAGCCCCTTTGCCAACGAAACAACACCGGCAAAAAATGCAGACAAGCAAGGACGCCAGGGCCCCCCGCCGTCCTCTCACCCGCCCCTCTCTACTCGCTCCTGCCTCTCAACCAAAGAAGGCGCAACTTCTGAGGTTGCATGGCGCAGTAAACGGACCAATGGCGAGCACGCTACTTCCACGACGGAGCTATACTTGCAATCCGCCCTGTCTGCAACAGACGACACCAATACCACAGGCCAACCAACTCGAACAACAGCGTTCATTGTTGGGTTCTGAGGGGAACACAGCATGAGACACGATGAATTGCAAACGATTATTCTAACCCTTGCGGGGGACAAAGGACAGAAGAAAAACAGGAAGGCCGGGCCTTCCCACGAACGGACGTCTGTCTGAAAACTGCAAGAAATAAACACTCCACACGCAAAACTAGGGTCCTACTTGTGTGGGTTGCCCCTTACCATGACCTCTGCTTCCTAAATCAAGAGGGTAACGATGGTAATCCCGTACCATGACTTTCCGTGAACCAAGAGGCAAAGACTGTAATCCGTACCATGACCCCTTCTCCTAAGACCAAGAGGGTAGCACGGTAATTCCGTACCACGACTCCTTCTCCGTAGACCGAGAGGGCAAAACGGTGAGGTAGGGGGAAACACTGCGGGGGATCAACGAGACCAGAACACACCACAACAACAAGGAAAAAAAAAAAAAATCAACTGTCAAGAGGAGCTCCACGAGACACGAAAGAACGGACTATAATAGCGAGCCCCAGGGATCGACAACCAGCCCCAATCGTACGCATGCTCTTCCACATCATGCTTGGGCGCTTTCGTCCAGAGTGCATGGTTCGATCCTCCCCCCCCCCCCCCCCCGGT